GAAACCACACTTCTCCTCTCTCTAGTTGATCTTCTTAATAACATTAGTTCTTGAGGCTGTAGAGTTGTTCTTCTGGAACAATTTGTTGATCTTGAGAGAGAGGTCTTGATCCAGAGTTGCTTCTTGAACAATATCAGGGATAGAAACCTGATCATTGTCAATGACAATTGGAGAAATTTCAACATATTCCTCCTCAAAGACAAAGCCTGTAACATCTTATCCCCCCGCAAACTCAACATTCTCAAAAAACCAAGCATTTCCTGTCTCGAAAATTGCTTTAGTTGTGGGATCATAAAACTTGTAACTCCTATATCTTTTAGAATATCCAATAAAATAGCAGGTGATGGTTCTTGCATCTAGTTTCTTTTCATTTGGCTTATAGTATCTTGCCTCAGCTGGACACCCCCAAATATGTATATACTTTAAACTAAGCCTCTTGCCCGTCCAAAGCCTATATGGGGTTTTATCAGTGGCCTTAGTTGGGACTCTGCTGAGTATATAAGTTGCGGCCTTTAATGCTTCACCCCAGAGAGATTCTAGTAAGGTAGAATGACTAATCATAATCCTCACCATGTCATTAAGCGTTCTGTTTCGTCTCTCAACAACATCATTCATAGTGGGCTAACCTAGCATAGTGTACTGTGGGACGATGCCGCATTCTTCTAGGAATTTAGCAAATGGTCCTGGATGTTGTTCACCTGAACCGTCATATCTTCCATAGTATTCACCTCCACGGTCAGATCTAACGCTTTTAATCCTTTTGCCGAGTTGGTTCTCAACTTTAGCTTTATAGTTTTTGAACACATCCAGTGACTGTGGTTTTTCATGAATGAGGTATATGTAGCCATATCTTGAAAAGTCATCTATGAACATTATAAAATATTGTTGACCATTTCAAGAACTCATAGGGAATGGTCCACAAATATCCGTATGTATAAGTTCTAAGATGTCTGAAGTCCTATTGGCTTGAAATCTCCTTTTATTGGTTTGTTTTTTCTTTATACAGTTGACACACAAATCATAATCTGTGAAGTCAAGAGGGTCGAAAATCCCGTCAGACACAAGTCTCTCAATTCTCCTTTTGGAGATGTAACCTAATCTATGCCACAACGAGGCAGAATTCTCGCCGATTATTTTTCACTTTACACCTCGAGTACTCACATGCAAAGTTTCATTATAAAAAGCAGTTGTATCAATTGAATAAAGATTATTGTAACTTGATAAAGAATCGGAACCAACCAATTTTGAATCATGAAACAAACTAAAATTTTCATTTCCAAATGAACAAGAATAACCAAATTTGTCCAAAACAGAAATAGAAATCAAATTTTGTCTAAAAGACGGTACAATAAATGTCTCAACAAAATCCAAATAAAATTCAGTCTTTAACAATAATCTAAATTTCCCTATTGCCTCTACTTCCACCTTCTTGCCGTCGCCAGCATAGATGTATCTTTCACTATCACTTGGTTTTCGACAACTCAGGCAACTCTACATAGACATATTGATGTGAGTTGTTGCACCAGAATCAATCCACCATGTATATCTAGGTACTGAAGTTAAATTAATCTCAGAACAAAGCAAATGAAAAAGAATACCTTTCTTTACACGTCATGCATGGTAATTGGTGCAATTCTTCTTTTTATAACCTACAGTTCTACAGAAGAAACATCCACCTTCAGTTGGTTCCTTATGTTGTTTCTTTTGTGGTGCTGTGTCCACAGCTTCCTTATTAATCTTCATTTTCTTGTTCCTTTTGTCCTTAGAGGTGCTGGTTAAATGAGTACTTTTTATCTTCTCATGCTTCAATCTTTCATCTTCCTGGACACTGTGTGAGATGAGTTCATTAAGGGACCATGAGTCCTTTTGACAGTTGTAGCTCACCTTGAATTGACTGAAAGTGCCGAAAGGGATATCGAACCAAGTGCACCAACAAGTCTTCAGATAAATCCAACTTGAGTGCCTTTAGTTTTGAAGCAATTTAAGACATTTCCATAATATACTCCCAAATGTTTCATTTCCCTTTATACCTCATTGAGATAAGGTTTGCCAAAATTGTACTTGTTTCAGCCTTTTCATTCTTGACAAACCTCTTCTCACGGTCCTTAAGGAAACCCTTAGTCGTAGTCACTTTATCGGACATAGTGCCCCGGAATGCTTCTAGAATAGCACGCTTCATGACCATTAAGCTTATACGGTTCGATCGTTCCCACTTCTCCATCTCCCTCTTGTCATTAGAGGTACTCTTATCAATTAGTGCAGCAGGTTGATTGACCCGTAAAGTAAGGTCCAGGTCCATGACTCCGAGAACAATCCTCACGTTCTCTTGTCACTCCTTGAAGTTTGTGCCATTTAGCATTGGAATTGAATTGATGCTAGCAGAGATATTAACAGCAAAACCTGAAACTGAATCAGAGAATGATTATTATGAATAGCTCGCATGAATATCTTTAATATGCAAATAATAATATTCTCAAATAATGGTAGAGCCCATCACAAGATACCAAGCACAACATCAATATCTAGTATTTGGACAGAGATATTGACTTGTAAGCGGTACTCTTGGCGTAGTGATCAAACATTGATGATAAAACAACGTGTCAATCAATAAACCTTTCTTTGGACCGATTTATTGATTACACATTAAATCAAATAATTATCACACGTTTATCACCACAAGTGCACGTGTATTCTGCTAAATATTAACCTTCCTTCCTTTGAGCCGACCAATATTCCCATGAATAACACATGCACAAACACCTTTTAATATTCTAAGTTAATCAATTTCCACAAGAGATGTTGCTTTGGCAACATGTTGCTTCGGCAACATGTTGCTTCAATCAACTTTCGAATATTATATATCTTAAAAGAGTCCTTAGTACCAAAATTTGAGAAATAGAATCACCAATTTTGCATATTTTGTTTAGTTTTAAACTTTAGAAGCCTTAGGATTAATAATTCAAAACTCTAAGGGAGCAAAATTAATTAATTCCAAACTTTAGAGGTTGAAATTAATAAATTTGAAACTTTATGGATGATAATCAATTAATTCAAAACTTTAGAAGATCAATTAGAAAAATTTAAAACTTTAGGGGGCCAAAAATTAACCAATCCAAAACTTTAGGGATCAATTTTGAAAATTTTAAACTTTAGGGGTAAATTTGAATCAATTATAAACTTTGGAGGCCAATTTAAATTAACTATAAACTTTGGGGGCCAATTTGAATTAATTCAGAACTTTAATGGCCCGAATTAATTAATTTTTAAACCATAGAGACTGAATAATTAAATCCAAAACCTAAAGGTCCAAACTTGAATATACCTTATATGTTAGAGACTGAAACCTTAATTTTATAACCCTAACCCTAATTGCAACTAGAAGCCTCAAATTTCCTAATTTACCAAAGAAGCCCCCGCCCCCAAATCCAAAAAAAAACTAAAAACCAAAAAAAATAATTTCTTTTCTCCTCCCTTCGTGGTGCCTGTTGGCGCCGCCCGAAGCAATGACGCCGGCTGCTGGCCAGTACAGCCTTTTTTTTTTTGAACCCAAAATCTGAAATTTTAAATCCAAAAATCTGTAATTCCTCAAGAAAATTCAAAACCTAAATTCCAAAGTCTTTAATCCAAATATGAAAAATAATAACGAAAAATATATCGTAAAAGTTTTCAAATTCAACAAAATAAAGATCTAAAATTGTTAAATCTGAAAACTTCAAAAGAATATTGCAAGAATCAAATAAATTATTCGATTCTCAATGATTCAACATGAAAAGGCTTTGATACCACTTGTAAGATAATTTAATGCTTTAAATCACTAAATCTTTCATGTTTAATCATCAAGAAATTGAAGAATTGTAGAGAGATTTTACCTGAATTAGACATGGTTATTTGCAATAATTGAATCACGCGGTATAATCTTCCAAATCTACACGCAATCTCATTTTTCTCTCTGTGATGGAATGCAGAAGAGAATGAATAATACGTACGTTTGATCTGCAGACCATAACCATATTTATATAGCGACGCTCTTTGACCTAATTCGGCCCATCATAGAATTAGGACTTGAACCGAGTCTCTGCACATATGTAAATCCATACTTTATTTGGGTACATTAAAACCCAAAATCGAAGTCTTATTAGATCACTTTAATTGAGTTCAACCGAATTCGATAGCCTTTAATTTAATACACAACAATTTACACATAGCCCACACGATTGTTTAACAATTCCTTACAAGTTCTTCATTGGCCGGGTTAGATTTTGGTCGATGAGTGCGTTCACATGCTGATAGCTTTACTGGGATTGTTTCTGTTTGAAATTCATTGATTGATATGTATGCAGGGTGTAGAGCAATAGAGGAAGCCTACAAGGTGTTTGAGAATGTGCTTGACAGGAATTCAGTAAATATGGAACACTATAATATTACGGTTGCTCATGAAGCATTGGAGCTCTCCTCGACATTAGTATATGAGAAGCTCAAAATGCCATTCACGCAGCATGGTCGACAAGGGAAGGAGATTTTTTGTTGTGTGGATGACGAATACCATATCCGACCAACCATAAAGGCTAAAGCACTATGGAAGCATGGTGGATATTCTCTGTAGAGCTGGAATAGTCGAGGAGGCTTATCAAGATATAATGAGTATGACAATGGAAAGGAATGCAATGCGATTGTATGGAGAACGGGTATCATAGCAGTGATTGTGTTCTTCTTGCTACCATGCACAACGGAACAGGCCAGTGGGATGCTATGATGGAACGGAGGAATTTGATGCAGAACAGGGGCATTTAGTAATCAAGCCTGGGAACAGGTTTGTTGTGCTACTCCAAGAATAAAACCACGGGCAAGACCTTATTCCAAGACCTGAAAATAGAAATTGACCCTCGGCGGGCATACTTTCAGGAACCCTATCAACATACCGTGCACATCCCCCGTGTATGAAAATGGGGGAGAGGAACTTCAGGACAATTATTCTAGTATGACTCTGGACAAGTACGATATAGAATTGAATTGACCAGACAATGCAACAACCATCAGACCAAGCTGCTTGTCATTGTGCATCCATAAGTTGGGAGAGGACACTTTGAGCATAAACCACACGATGGTGTTTGTTACACAGTTCAATATATAGACATTCAGGGAGTCAAGTTACAACAGAAGTGTAAGATGAGGGAAGAAAGAAGTGTATTGTTTCGATATGAAATTGTTCAATTTACGAAATTTTCTTCTCCTTCCATTCTTTGATTTCAGCATCAATTTTTGCTTTAACCCGAGTGTTAAACCCTGGGTATGGTTCATAACCAAAGAATGATAGAGCCTGTAAGGAACAGAGAGCTCTTAGTAATAATACATACAAACCAGCAAGAACATTTCATGTCTGAGAGAACTGATAAATTTACCTCCAGCAATACAAAGAAAGGTGCCATCAGGAATGCTTGAACCAGGTTGTCTAAAAGAGCAGGTGCTCGTTTCTACAAATCAAAAAGCTATATGTAATAAAGGAGAGAAAATGAAAGAGCAAACAAGGCAGAGTACCTTAGGCGAGTAATTACCTCAAATACACCATGGCCTATAAACTGTCCTGTCCAGCAGAATAACTGAGATGCCAGGACAACCTGAGAAAATTACTGTCATTATCAGTATCAAACTACACACAATGAAAATGAATTTGCGACTAAGCATCTTTCACTGATCATGTAACAAATATTTTTATATATTTTTTTTTCTTGCCGACTGCAAATATTCATTCCAAAGTTTGAAACCAAGCATTAGTAACCATCAGTTTACTTTAAATTATATTCCAGATAACCCATGTTATTTCCAAATAACTCCTGTTAAGTCATATAACACAACAAATTCCATCTAACAACATCGTTGCAGAACACACATGAAAAAAATGCAAGTGGCTAAATTTCAATTTGAAGTTTGAAAGCACACAAGTCAACATTACAGCTGTAAGAGAAAAGAACAGAACCCAAGAGCTAAGATACTACCATATACGATGTTTATGAAGTTGAAACCATAAGCATGGACTTCAATTCTTGCAAGTGTAGATTAAAGTTTTCAAAAGCTGAATGAATATGATGAAGTTAAGGTCATCATGTGGAGCATCCATTCTCAAATGTAATACGCAGTTTATACTCAATTACTCTCAAGTCTCAACATGGACAGATTTGCAGAGAATATTTTACGCCACAAACAACTAATACAATCTTGATGATATCGATACTATCTATTTTCATCAAAGTTCAGGAAAATTAACAAGCAATATCCAAATTCAACAGTTCAAATGAAATGGATTTGACGATTACAGTACAATGAAGAAATAAGTGGGGGTCCTATTAAAAGGCCATTAAGGTGCGATACAGCCCTTTTCACATGTAAATTTACTGTGTATTAGATCGTAATTAGAAAATGATTGAACTAATTGTTATTCAGTTCCACTCTCCCAGAAGAATACCTACGAAAAGCCATCAACCAACAGGACTAAAAATTTCGATAAAGGAAAATGCTTATAGCATCCAAAATGATGCCAAAATGATGTAGAAGCTATGCGCGCTAAACTACTGGTAAACGTTCTAATAAGTTCAGGAATGCAATGTGTAAACCAAGGCCCTTGCTACATATTCTGGTGTTGTATTTATTTGTAATGGTCAACTACAAATGTTTAAGGCAGTATTTTCCCTGCAAAAATTCAAGACATGTTTGCATTTAGATTCCATTCCTGCAGCCTAGATAGAGAGAGAAAAATTTTGTTCGATTATATTGTTATATATTTATGGTATAAATATAAAATGTGAAAGAAATAATCAAATTAGATAAAGTGCCAAAGTGGTGGAAAATGTGGCATTTGTTGTGGGACATCAGGGGTTCGAGTCACTCCCCACGCAGATATTAAAATGTCTTGATTGGGGCTTTGGGGCTTTGGGCTTTCTTGAATAAAATAAATGTTTTTTTTATTATTTAATGGGTAAAACTAGCCAATATTTTCTAACTGTTTGTTTTTGTAACAACCCATTAACAATCATTAAAATTCTGAATTAATCTCTGATCATGGTGGAGACCGTTACTTCCATCCTGCCTATATAAACCCATATCTCGTTTTGGGAAAAATACACACAAAAAAAGAAAATAGAAAAATCCTCTTGTATCAATCCTTCATTTTCATATTCTGATTTTCTTATACTCGGATTTTTACATATATTTTGGATTACAATTGAGAGTTCTGGAAAAACTATTCATGATTGCTGCACAAGTGGTTTACGATCGTTGTATCCTGAGAGTAATTGTCCACGGAGGTCGCAGCGATTATCGATGGGCAATTTCACTTTAGGACATCGTGCTGTCACGAGACTCGATCAGACGATAAGTCTTATATTTCTGCATTTTATTGTTCTGAACATTACTGCAACTAGTTATTATTCCAACAATCTAAAGTGAAATTTTCTTTATAATTAGTTGTCATGTCTGCTGTAGAGATATCTGTTCCTAAGTATTCTGAAAAACCTGAGTTATTTGATGGAAAGAATTTTAAGAGATGGCAAAGGAAACTGCGATTTTATTTGACAACACTTAAAGTCGTTGATGTTATTGAATCAGATAAACCCGTTGTTGCAATTGTTGATAATCCTACTGATAAGGAAATAGAGGATTTAACTAATTGGGAACATAAAGATTATATGTGCAGGAATTATATTCTGAATTGTTTGACGTTAGATCTATATGATGTTTACTTGTCGTGTAAATCTGCAAAAGAATTATGGAATTCATTAGAAAAGAAATATACTACAGAACATGCTGGAACTAAGAAATTTGTTGTGGAAAAATTTTTAGATTTTAAAATGAATGATATTAGAACTGTGGTCAATCAAGTTGAAGAATTGCAGATTATAATTCATGAAATTATTGCTGAAGGATATAAAATCTGTGAGGGCTTTCAAGTGTCAGCTATTATTGAAAAATTGTCACCTACTTGGAAAGAGTATAAAAATGGTTTGAAGCGTAAGAGAAATGTTCTTAGAGGATCTGATTATCAGGATTAGAATTGAGGAGAACAATAGAATGACAGAACATAAAGAAAGGCCAGACTTTGATACCAAGGCTAATCTTATTGAAGGAAGTTCTGGAAGTGAGAAACCAGTTGGAAATTTTATAAGGGGTCAGAATTTCAAAGGCAGAAACAAGGGAAAACAATTTGTAGGAAAGAACAATCGGTCTAAGCCCCAGTTTAAGAATAAAATTGTTGGTGACTGTTTTGTTTGTGGTAAATCAGGTCACCTTGCAAAGGATTGCAGAAATAGGAAAGGAAAAGATGTGAAGCATCAGGCACATGTGGTAGAGGATGGAAATTTCTCTGCTATGGTGATAGAAGTGAATCAAGTAAGCAACATGACAGACTGGTGGGTAGATTCTGAAGCTACCAAACATTTTGCTGCACGAGAGGTGCATTTTCTTCATTCACTCCCGCTAGTGATGGAGAATGTATGTTCATGGGGAATGCTTCCTCCTCTAAAATCGAGGGGAAAGGAACAGTAACGCTTAGATTTACTTCTGGAAATATCCTCAATTTGAAGGATGTCCTTTATATACCTGATATTAGGAAAAATCTAGTGTCTGGATCTATCTTAGTCAAAAAGGATTTTAAGATTGTGTTAGAAAGTGGTCAAGTTGTACTGTCTAAGGGTGGTTCCTTTGTTGGGAAAGGGTATGCAGATGAGAGTTCGTTTAAACTCAATGTCTCTGTAATTAACAACAAAGCATCTAGCTCTTCCGTTTACTTATTGGATACTTATGATTTGTGGCATGCTAGACTTGGACACGTTAATAAAACTTCCATTAAAAAATTAATGACTTTGGGAAACATTCCCAAAATCGATAATTGTCCAAATTCAAAGTGTGAAACATGTGTTGAATCTAAATATTCTAGAAAACCATTTCCTCGTGTTGATAGGACTACTTCGGTTTTAAGTTTGATACATTCTGATTTATGTGACTTAAAAGGATATGTTACTCGTGGTGGAAATAAATATTTCTTAACTTTCATTGATGATTATTCTCGGTATTGTTATATTTATCTACTTAAGAGCAAGGATGAAAGTTATTCAAAATTTATTTCCTATAAAACTGAAATAGAAAATCAGCTAGACAAAAATATTAAAGTTTTAAGATATGATAGGGGAGGAGAATATATAGGAGATTTTGATAAATTTTGTGTTGAGAATGGTATCATGAGACTACTCCACCTTATTCTCCCCAATCTAATGATGTAGCTGAAAGGAAAAATCGAACCCTTAAGGATATGGTCATATCAATGCTAAACTCTTATGGATTACTTTTTAACATGTGGGAAGAAGCACTTCTTATTACATGTTATATTCTTAACAGAATTCCTAGTAAGAAAAATAATAAATTTCCTTAAGAAAAGTGGAATGGCAGAACACCTTCATATAAATACCTTAAAGTGTGGGGGTATTTAGCTAAAGCTTCTATTCTAGCACCTAAAAGAACTAAATTTGGTCCGAAAACTGTTGATTGTGTTTTTATAGGTTATGTTTTTCATAGTAATGCCTATAGATTTTTAGTTATTGACTCTAAAAATAATTTGATTGAAAAGAACACAATATTTGAACTAAAGATGTTGAATTTTTTGAAAATAGATTTTCGTTCAAAGAAAAGTCTGAAGGACCAAACAGTTCTTTTAGTATTCCTCCTAGTGTTAGAGAGGAGTCATCTGAATTAGAAGAAGCTGAAATTAGGAGAAGCAAAAGACCTAGGACCACTACTTCTTTCGGTCCTGACTTTATAACCTACTTAGTAGAGGATGATCCTAGTACTTTTGGTGAAACTATGTTTTCACCAGCTTCTATATTTTGAAAGGAAGCTGTAAATAGTGAATATGATTCAATTGTATCTAATAATACTTGGGAGTTAGTGGACTTACCTCAAGGATGTAAGACAATTGGGTGTAGATGGTTGTTTAAGAAAAAACTTAAACCTGATGATTCAATTGATAAGTATAAAGCAAGACTTGTAGCTAAATGCTATAAACATAAAGAAGGAGTTGACTTCTTTGATACTTATTCACCCGTTACTAGGATTACTTCTATTAAGATTTTAATTGCAATTGTCTCACTGTATGATCTTATTATACATCAAATAGATGTCAAGACTGTATTTTTAAATGAATACTTAGAAGAGGAGATTTATATGGATCAGCCTGAAGGATTTGTTGTAGAAGGCCTTGAGGATAAAGTATGTAGACTTAAAAAATCCCTTTATGGCTTTAAACAAACTTCTAAGCAATGACACGAAAAATTTGATACAGTTTTGACATCAAGTGGTTATGTAATAAATGAAGCAGAGAAATATATATATAGCAAATTTGAAAATAATTGTGGTGTGATAATTTACTTATATGTTGATGATATGCTGATTATGGGAACTAGTTTAGATGTGGTTAATAAAACTAAACAGTTTCTGAACAAGCACTTCGAAATGAAAGATTTGGGTGTTGCTAATGTTATTCTAGGAATCAAAATAGTAAAACATTCTGAAGGAATTATTTTGATCCAATCACATTATGTAGAAAAGGTGCTTAAGAAGGTTAATCAATACAACTGTATTCCTACTAAAACACCTTATGATGCAAGCCGTCATTTGAGAAAACATTTAAGTCCTAGTGTTTCCGCTTTAGAATATGCTAAAGTAATTGGCAGTCTCATGTATCTCATGAACTGTACAAGACCTGATATAGCATATGATGTCGGTAGACTTAGCAGGTATACTAGTAATCCTAACAGTGAACATTGGGATGCTCTCATTCAAGTCTTGAGGTATTTCAGATACACTCTAGACTGAGAAATATATTATACCAAATTCCCTGCTATAGGGATATTGTGATGCTAATTGGATTTCCGATACCAATGAAAGTAAATCTACAAGTGGATATATATTTACATTAGCAGGCGGTGCTGTCTCCTGAAAATCCACTAAGCAAACATGCATTGCTAGATCTACTATGGAATCTGAGTTCATAGCTTTAGATAAGGCAGGTGAGGAGGCTGAATGGTTAAGGAATTTTCTTATGGATGTTCCTTTGTGGTCCAAACCATTTCCAATTATTTCAATACATTGTGACAGTCAAGCAGCTATTTCAAGAGCTCAAAATTCATCCTACAATGGAAAGTCTAGACATATTCGTAGGAGGCACAATACTGTGCGTCAGCTGCTTAAGGATGAGATTATAGCTATTGACTATGTGAAGTCAAATGATAACATTGCTGACCCATTAACCAAAGGATTGGCTAGAGAGCTAATTTAACAAACATCGAGGGGGATGGGGCTAAAGCCTATTACTTATTAGATCACCTATAATGGAAACCCAACCTTGCAATTGGAGATCCCATGGTCAAGGTTCAATGGGACAACAAAGTTATTGGAGTGGTCTGTGGGGGTACTACATTGGATTTATTCCAAACACCTCCCTATGATGCGTAGTACCAACTGTATTGATTAGAGGATGAGCTAATACTCTTAATGCTTACTATAGCTGATATTCAGTGGAGTGTTTAGATACAGTGCACTCTTGATAGAAGCACCTATTTAAGTGTGGAGGTGGGGCCGCTTCCTATGAGAATTGAGGCGAATTCTCTAGAGCACTCAAAGAAATTGGGAAAGTTCACGGCCGAAATGAACACAACCGTGAGAACTTAATTACTGTTCTAGAAATCATGTGTGTGTTCTATTGTTTCAGTTTGCAACTATAATTGTAGAGTTCAAGACATAGTTCACTCTACAATTAGTAAGCTCGATAATATACAAAACCAAGGTTCAAGTCGATAAACACCTAAGCCTGCATGATTTCTACCGTAATCCAGAGTAATATTTTCATTTATCTTATTTCTTTCATGTGGTGGATTGTTATATATTTATGGTATAAATATAAAATGTGAAAGAAATAATCAAATTAGATAAAGTGCCAAAATGGAGGAAAATGTGGCATTTGTGTGGGACGTCAGGGATTTGAGTCACTCCCCACGCAGATATTAAAATGTCTTGATTGAGGTCTTGGGGCCTTGGGCTCTTGGGCTTCCTTGAATAAAATAAATGTTTTTTTTATTATTTAATGGGTAAAACTAACCAGTATTTTCTGACTGTTTATTTTTGTAACAACTCATTAACAGTCATTAAAATACCCAATACTCAATCATTAAAATTCTGAATTAATCTCTGATCATGGTGGAGACTGTTACTTCCATCTTGCCTATATAAACTCATATCTCGTTTTGGGAAAAGTACACACAAAAAAGAAAATAGAAAAATCCTCTTGTATCAATCCTTCATTTTCATATTCTGATTTTCTTATACTCGAGTTTTTACATATATTTTGGAGTACAATTGTTTGTTCTGGAAAAACCATTTGTGATTGCTGCACAAGTAGTTTACGATCGTTGTATCCTGGGAGTGATTGTCCACGGAGGTCGCGGCAATTATCAACGGACAATTTCACTTTAGGACATCGTGCTATCATGAAACTCGATCGGACGATAAGACTTATATTTCTGCATTTTATTGTTCTGAACATTACTGCAACTAGTTATTATTCCAACATATATATTTGTGAAATGGCAACTACTTTGCTTAATCAGAAAAGCCATGCCATAAGAAATTCCGGTGAAGCGTTTTGCAATGTGCGTAGACAGGAAAAAACTGAAAATGGTGCAATAGGCTCAAAGTGCAAACAAACTTGGGCGTTCCTACAGCAACAAACCACATAAGCATGAAACAGACTATTAAAAGGCTCAAATTAACAAAAATCACCATGTTTTCAAATCAAGCCATTACCAGAACTCAAATATACGCACGTCTAATCAATTTTAAGAAAGAATGAAGTCTATATTCGACCGCCTAAAATAAAATTAAGCCACAAAATAAGTTGTATTGAATTCTGCTATTTGATTATCATTTGGAGCCCATTGTTTATCCATTGTCAACAGCCTTGATCCTTTCCTTTTCGTTTTCTAATTCTAGTTTCAATGGATAACTTATTTGTAATCTAATTCGAATCAGCATGAATTTATTTTCGCGGGTTAAACAGAAATAAATCAATTTCAATAAGTAAAACTAGTTATTACTTATAATTCAACAACAAAATTTAAGACAAAAATAAAAACCAATAAATTACCTTCCAAGCCAAAGAATATCCCAGGCGATTCGCAACAGAACTGCTTGCAACCCAACAGAAAAAGCACAATAAAGCAGCCAAAGAGCCGGCTTTCTTATCCAAACATACATAGAACAGGGCATAAATTACAGTGAACAAGAACCCAGAATTCAAGACTAATACACTATGATCGCACAAAACAATTGGGGAATCACTGAATAAAGGAGGTGTAAAATATAAAAGAAGAAGAGCTGTGAAAAGGATTGGCCAAACAAACAACATATGAATAAAAATATTTATTGGGTTGCTGTGATATGCTCCGTAGAAAGCAAAGTGTTTTTCCAAATCCAATAAACCCATCTGATAATGGATATATTTGCAAATTTTTGCTGAATTTTGATTTTAGGGTTTGAAGATTGATTGCCAAACAAGACGGGTGAAACTTTGGATGCTTGGTTGCTGTTTCTTGACGATGTTGTTTCTATGCGTGTGAATATGCTAACGTGCGCTACAGCGTAACACGCATTAACCTGCGCGTTCCTTCACTTTTTTGCATTTTTTTAAATAAAATTCTTTGGCTTTTTTCATTTGTTTTGATTAGTCTTTAATCAATATTATTTGTACATTTTTTATTTTTTTGACACCTTGGTTGATATTTTTATTGTTGTCCACAAATAATTGAATGAAAAAGTATTATCTTTTTAAACTATCCAACAGTATAATGTCACGTGACAAAATGTAAAAGATGGTATACACTATGATGTACACCAAATATGATTATTCTAGAGATAATACGCTTATAATTTTTTTCCTAATGGGGTATAGTAACATCCAAATTCTTACTTGGCTTAGTCTAAGATAAACGAATGGGCTGTTCTATTAATATATCTCTAACTCGTTAAAATTACTATTTAGTTCTTTAAAATCAAAATCAATAACAAGCAAAGAATTAGAATTTTGAATATATAAATATTAAGAACACACCTTTGTGTAGTATTAAATTTGCAAATTAATTGAAAAATAACATACAATGTCAACTCAAAAGTATGATATCAAAATCAACATTAAATAAATACTAATTATTTTGTGGTTCTTGTTACTATGAGTAGGTAGGTATCAATTTGTAAGTCCTAATCAAAATAATAATTCATTTTTGTGCAAGCCCAAGTTTGAAAGTCTGCGAGGACATAAAGGGCATGGCCCAATTAATGTGCAAGCCCGCTGTATGTCTGCCAGATGACCAAAAAGAAAATGAATAAAAGTATTTCTTCAAAAAGATACATGGCCTATGCAGGTCTCGAACCTGCGACCTTCGCGTTATTAGCACGACGCTCTAACCAACTGAGCTAATAGGCCAGTTGTTGACTTGATGCTAAACCATATTATTATAGTATAAAAGTATCTTCTTTATCCTTTTTATTTTTATTGTTTCATACTTCATAAAGTGATCGAGTAATGATGTCAACGGAGAATTTCAAATTTAACATTTATAATTACGGATTACCATTATGATAATATTTTTAGGGTTAGTTGACAAAGTTTTTAATAAAATTTTTATCGATTTTACGGATAGTCAAACATTATGTGGACACAAAACCTCTATCAAAATTTCAACCGAATATTTATCAATTTTTATCAGAAGATTTGTCAAACAATCCCTTAATAAAACTTTAACTGATTTTAATATAAAAATTGATGAAATGTGTCTTTGAAAAGTTTAAAAAAAAATTATAGATCTCATGAAATGTGTAGTCGAAATTAATTATCAACTTTGACATCAAAACTTTTAAGTTATCCCAAACAAACAAATAATATTGATCTTAACTCATTTCAGTGTACCATATAGTTATCAAATATTTTTCAACATGCTTATTCTCTTTTAATAAATTTAATTTCCACAAACCTTTTACTGAAGGATAAATTCTAATGATTACTTGAAAATAATTATAGTACCAAATATTTCCAAACTTCATCGTCAAATTGTCATCACCTTCTCTAACTTACTTGCGATAGAGATCTACCTTGCATTTATAACGTGTCGTTTTAACCAATGCAGAAGGTATAAATTAACTCGAGGATTGGGGAGGAAATTTTGGAAATTTTATTGCTTCTTTCCGGTTTGAAGAATGCTTTTTGGTACAAAGATTAGCAAAGAAAAGGTGTTTTAAAATGATGATGATGAGGGTTAGTTAGACAGTGAGCAAGTAGCTGATGAGGGTTAGTTAGACAGTGAGCAAGTAGCTTTTGAGTTTTGATTTGTTCATGATCTGATCTCCAGGCTTCATGTGAAATAATCTTTAGTTTTATTTCAATTAATTCAGTCATTATTATTCTACTATTCATCCTAACGGCCGTTACAATAGTTAGTTAATTAATACATAATCAATCACATGTAATTTAAATAAGATAAAATCCATCAATCCAATCAAACGCCCTAAGGAGGGGTGGGTGCGGGTCGGTTCGGTTCTAACCGAACCAAAATTTTCTGGTATCTAGTAAATGCAACTGTCGGGTTCAAATATAATTATGGAACCGTTCGGGTTCGATTCAGTTCGGTTCCGTTCGGTTCTGTACTATAATTAAATTTTTTAACATTTATAACAACATTATATAAATACAACTAATGATACATTCAATAGTTTTGGAATGTCAGAGACTAGTAAACTACATTGTTCAAATGATCGCTACAATCAAAGTTTCGGTCGGCGGAGGTCACAATGTCGGCCGACGATTGTATAGGTTTTGGAATATTAGCGAGGCTGCGAGAGTGAGTGCGAGAGTCGAGACAATGTTATGCACTTTAGTGTAGGTGTTTAGAGTTATTTAGTGGATTTGATCTTGTTTGGCTAAGAAATGAAATAATAAAATGGGTAATTGAGTCAAAAATTAAAAAATTAGAAATGAAACAAATTATTGGGTCAAAAATTTGGATTTAGAAATCGTTAATTTGTTTAGAAAAAATTAAAATTAAAATAATTTGATTTACTCAATATAAAAAAAAAATTAGAAAGATTTGGTTCTTGGTCTAGAATCGAGAACCGAACCGTACCCGTCGGTTCTCAATTCAGATATCCGTTCGGGTATTTAATTTGACAAGAATCGTTAGGTTCGGTTCGATTCGAGTTTGGTTCGGTTCGATTCGGGAGATTTGCCCAACCCTAGTCCTGAGAGTGAGAGTGAGAGTGAGCAAGTTGAACGATCGTACGTGACCTTAGCATTGTAGTAGGGGTATTGGTGTTCATATATGTATAATTAGATATTTCAAATATTTTATTATTTTTAAATTTTTATTATTATATTAAGTTAAAGAGCACAATATTTATGAAAAATTTTATATTACATTAGTATTCTTTTAATTTAACATATTATTGAAAAATATATATAAATAATTCTTCGTAAATTTAAACTATTTTGTTTTCAAAAAAAATAAAATAAAATTCAAACTATCTATTTTACTAGTTCAAAATTCAAATTATTAAAGTAAAAAATGAAAAGATAATCCCAAATTCCCCATTCTTCATTTCCCTCACTCTCGCCCTTTTAAGCCATGAAGAACACTTGAGCATAGAAGAGAAGAAACTCCACCATCAATCTTGGTTACTTGCTCTATAATAGTACAATTTATATCATAACATCATCATTTTATTGGAGCTAATTGTCCACTTGTTAATTGTTATTTTTGTGACGGTAAAGTTTTTGTTAGATGAAAAGGTGCACCATTTGAATTTATTTATTTTTTTATTGGTGCCGATAAGGTTTTGTTTTTTCATTTTTGTTTTCTTTAATAGGAAATGGGCACCATTTTAAAATTACACACAGTGCATCCCAAATCTCGAGGCGACCCTGAATCCAATACATACTATTTGAATATAATGTCTATAATTACATTCAACTTTTATATGAAAATCATTGACAAATTGTTTTGAAAATCGTTGACCAATTGTAAGATTTCACAAGCTAGTTGGGTAATGCGATTTTTAATATGAAATGTGCCACACGAGGTAGATACTAGCTATCAGAATTCTAATTCTACCAAATTTCATGACTAGTATTCAATGACATTATTATCCTCTTCAAGTCCAATTTTTCTGTCCAAAATATATTTTGAAAATAATGAGAACTATACAAGTGCTATGACTTATTGCGGCTAATTACTCGTCTAACTAGGGTTTGACATGTATATAAAATGTTTAGAAAATGCTATTGGTAATTGTCAACTAGTAGCTGTTATATGGGGATGGGGAGGAGCGCAGGGCAAACTAGCCTATTGTCTGGTTTATAATTAAAAAAAAAAGTTCTTATAAATATTTTAGGTGGTACTTGAATATTTAAATTCTTGATTTTTTTTTTATATTTAACAAAAATAAACTATCAAAAAAGTACCGATAAGTTAAAAATAAAAGGATCTGGTTTATAATTTTTAAAAATTTTCCTATAAAAATTTTAGGTGGTACTTGAATATTTAAATTTTTAATTTTTTTATATTGAACAAAAATAAACTATCAAAAAATGTACTGATGAGTTAATTATAGAAAATGGATGAAATTGGGATTTGAAATTATTGTTAACTTCAATAAAAGAATGGCACTCATTTGAGTTTAATTATATTCGTACCAGAATTTTTTTAAAGACAATTATATTCACAAAATAATTTTTGTTTCTTGCACACATTTTAACTGCAGTTAGGATTTTTAATCTTTGCTCATTATAATCTTATGTATTTAATGATTTATAATGTCATTCATTTCCTCAAACTTTCCATTAATTAACATATTTTATATTTGATAATAGTTTATGTCCAAAAAGTCTATTGAAATAACGTAAATATAACTTATTTTTTCATCATTTTAAAAAAAAATGAAAAGATAAATTTCCATTATTTCAAAGTATGAAAATATAGAATATTTTGATATAAAGCATTATCAAGGATGAAATGTACTAATTAATGGAGGTTGAAGTAAAAATTCAACTAAAAAATTAGAGAAATAATTGTTACGATGAGTAAAGATTGAGAGGTTTAACTACAATTAAAATGTAGTATAACAAATAAAAACTATGGTGTCAATATAACAACCCTTTTTGTTAATTATACTATATTTTAACTGCAATGAAGGTCTTTAATATTTGCACTTATGTCTCCCACTTTTTTTTTTTTTTTTATTAGACTTTATCTCTAGCCTTCAATTAATTAGCACACCTTGTCTTTTGTGACGATTTTTATGCAAATATTCTGTTAATGTGGAGAAAATATTTTGTCGCAATTTAGTATTTATCATTTAATTTGCTAATTTAATGATACGATAGGCAAATAAGTATTTAATCTCTTAAATCTTCAGTTATTAATTTGTCTACTTTATTTTATATTTGGAGCATTGAGTCTTTTTGGTCCTTTAAGGACATTAAACTCTTTGTATGTCTTATTTAAGTTTTGATCTATATTCCAACATAACCAGCTACCTACACAAAAAGGGCTTTTAGTCCAATTATGGACTTGTAAATCGAATTCCAGACAGTGATGGTGTCGGTTGTTGTAATAATTAGTAATGCAATTTCTTTATATTCACAAGATTGTAGCATAAGATAAATTGAGTTTCATTGATGGCCTATACCCGATATAAATGTCCTTGCTTTTAGTCCATTTTATATAAATAAATTATCGAATACTTGTTTCTTCATAGGGGAGATTGTAATAAAGTTAAGAACTATGAATTTTTGCACATTTTTTATTATTAAATTAAAAATGTGGCTAACATAATGGATATGAAATAGTATAGCACCAAAATCAGGGTTTAGTTATCCAACCATCTTTCAATTATATAAAACATAAATTCGACAATATTATCTTTAGAAGTGTAATATACACATATCATGAGATGATTTGCCTAGAACAAGTTTGCACGCTATTAATAAGAGAAAATATCATCTTAAGATCGAAATTACTATGTAGCATAGACGATAGGCATAGAAAGTTGAATATGTTATCTAGCATCATTGACAACAATTTAAACAAATCTTTTGCTAAATTACTCTAGGCATGCTTTTGGGTGTGCCTAACATGAACATCACGTGTTCAAAAAGGAAATTAATTTGATCCATAGATGTAAAAGATAGCATTGCATGTGTTTTATGTACCATTTATTCGACTTTATATATAGAAACAAATTTTGGACCTCAATTTCTATTATTTTTAAATCCTTTTCACGAGAATTGTTAGGACATGAATGAATAGCCTTTAGCGGTTAAGCCTTTCATTTTGATTTTTCCATGAATATGATTATTGAACTTGCTTTTCTTTTTTCTTTTTAATTACCATAATTCATTAATATTTGAATAAATAGCTATTATTGTGAATCACTTTAACGTTAAAGGTTTATATGGAACCTTAAAAATAGTTTTGAAATGTATAGAGACAATCCTTGTAGAGGACTATATGACTAGTGAGGCATTCTACTTCTCCATTCTTCTATAAATTAGCATACGACACCTAAGCTTAGGAAAAAAAAATATAAATTAAAATTTTAATGGACTTCATTGTAATATGCTATAGTAAATAAATATAAATTTTATTATCCAACGATTAGACATAGTCAGTAGTCAAGTATGCGGTGAAACAACAGTCTCATAACCCCCCCAATTGTCTAAATTTTACCTAACAAAGTACGTACGTAATATAGGGTTCCTCATTCTGAAATTAATATTAACCGTAAAAGCACCTCATAAATTATGAAAAGAATCATCCTACTATTAAGCCAACCCTCTTTGCTTCACAAGACAAAAATGGGGGATAATTTTATCAAATTAATCGATTATTATCCATACCATAATTATAGGACAATTATAGGATTCTTGGAATTCATTAAAATCTCTTGAAAAGGAAAATTTAAAAAATTGTTTTGGATGATGACTTATCCATTGTCCTACTCTTTGCCTTTATATATCCCCAAAAAACCTTTTCTATCCTCCTCATTCCCATACAAAGCTTCAAGAAGAAAAAACCGAAACCGCTCTTTCCATTTATCAATCACCAGTTTCTTATATTTTCTCACTTTTTTCTTGAAAATAAAGTTTTGTGGGTCTTGCTTGGATTTAAGTTTCTGGGTCCTTTGTCCTTTTGGTTTTTCTTGAATAAGCGCAAGAAATAGGGTTCTTGATCTACAAAGAGGAGGAATCCGTGGGTTTTGTTTTGGTTTGATGTTATAAGGTTGAATTTCACATTTCCTGAAATTTTGTTTTGTCGGTCTTTCTTGGATTTCAGTTTTGAGGTCCTTTGAATTAGGGTTCTTGATCTCCAGAAAAAGGAGAAATTTTGTGGGTTCTTTAATTTGATGCTATAGGGTTGAAAATTTGAAGAATCTTGAAGAAATGTCTTGTTCTTTGAAGGCTGGATTTCCTGTTTCTGTGTCCGATGAGACGATTATCAAGAACAGACCCATAGGGTATTTTGGGGTTTGTCCTTCAATTGTGAACCTTCAGTTTGCACATTCAAAATCAAGAGAGTTTATGGGAAAGCCCATACAATTTTCAGATCAGAAATTCTTTAGCAATCGGAATGCTAAAGCTTCAAGACATATCCCTACCCATGTAAGTTTTTATTTTGTGCTTCTTTTTTCTTCCTGACGAGAATTCTTTTCTTTTTTCATTTTTATTTTATTATTATTATTATTTTGTTAAGGTTTCAAAAATTAAGCTTTATTTATTTATTGTGATTTTATGCACAGGCTTCAATATGCATTAGCAGAGGCCTAAGATGGTGGGAAAAGACCCTTATGCCCAACATGATAGAGATCCATTCTGCACAAGAACTTGTTGGTTCTTTGTTAAATGCTGGTGATAGATTGGTTATAATTGACTTTTACTCCCCTGGTTGTGGAGGCTGCAAAGCATTGCATCCTAAGGTACAAATATTTATCTTTTTATACTCTTATAATTGATTTTTTTTTGCCTTTGATTTACTCGAGTTTGATAAATTAATTTCAACAGATCTGTCAACTGGCTGAATCAAACCCGGATGCAATTTTTCTCAAGGTTAATTATGAAGAACTTAAGACCATGTGCCATAGTCTGCACATTCATGTCCTTCCCTTCTTTAGGTTCTATAGAGGTGCAGAGGGCAAATTATGTAGTTTCAGCTGTACTAATGCAACTGTAAGTAATTATATTCACATTCTATTTAATTTTTTGAGATTTGTATTCTGGAATCATTTTTTAAGATTTAATTTTTGTATGCAGATCAAGAAATTCAAGGATGCATTAGCAAAATATGGGACAGAAAGGTGTTGTCTTGGTCCTGCCAAAGGTCTTGAGGATTCAGAATTAATGGCTTTAGCTTCAACTGGTCAGATTTCAAGAAAGTTACAGCCAAATTTCACCAAGGGAGATAATGAAAAGGAAGAATCGGTGCTGAAAGAGATTATTCTTTCAAGCAAGGAGACTAAAATGGGATTTAAGGAAGGAAATGCAGTATTGATGGCCTAAACCTAGAGGAAAATTGAAATATTATTTTTATGGAGTAAAATAGCTCCAATTTTATTTATTTTTCTTTTTTGTGATTAGATGTAAATATTTGATTTATGGGATTTCCAAAAGCAGGGCTTTGAATTTTTTGGATAAGGCCTGCAGATTTGGTTAATCTGTCTTTGGTTCTGTAGTTTGAAATTCAATGGAAAAAATTATCCTTTTCTGAATATATTTCTATTTGGTAATATCTTTTTCCTGTCATTTGTTTATAGAACATCGTATAATTTTATTATCCATAATATGAACTATGAAGCTTCGAATTTTGAATTGATGCAGGGGCGGTCTAAAATGTCATCAGATAATCAAGGATTAGTAAAATAACTGGAGTTGAATATTTCTTTGGTATGAATTGCTCAAAGATTGCTGTGGTAATACTTTTCGATTACTGGTCAGAGTCTTAATCGTTGAATTATGGCATACTTCTTGAACAACAAGAGTAATAATACGATTTTTTATTACACATTCACACAATAAAATATTTTATACGTGAACCCAAAATTTTTCTCTACTTTTTCACCACATACATTCTCCTAAAAAGATATTCAAAATTTTTATTTTTGGGGAATCAAATAGGGACTAAAAGGAGTTAAATGACATTGATGAATGAAAACACAATCAATTTTTGTGGTCGGTCAGGGGCGGACCCACATGGGGTCAAATGACCTCACAGTTTTTTTGGAATTTTTTTTTTTTTTTTTCTGAAAACTTAATTTTTTGCCCCAAAAAGTCCAAATACTAAATCTATATCCATATCCATTATTTAGTCCATAGATATATCATGCAATCCACCGATTTCTTCCCAAAGTGCAAACACCGAACATGAACAGCAAACAATCGATTTCTCCTTTTTGTTCATGATACGTTGTTCGAAAAAAATTTCTTCTTTTTGACCCCATAGTTCGAACTGTTTGGGTCCGCCCCCGGGTGCACATGAAGACATTGAATATTAAATTGATCCTCATTTCTTAAAACTCATTTTTAATCCCACGTTTTATTGAATTCATAATTTTTATAAATTTTTCAATCACATATTTCACCAATTCTTATTAAAATTTACTAAATCCAATTTTTATCCAATCAAATCAGCTAAAACTTGTACCAAATAATGAAACAAATGGAGGAATAAAAAACAAAAATGGCTTGTTTTTCTCCCTGGAATCTCACGGGTAGAATGCGCATAATATGGATACATTTCCAGTTAAAGGAAAAACCTGTTTGGCCCTGGCAAAACAGGGGCCGACCAAAGAGCACGTCACCTAGTTAAATTTGACAACAGGATATTCAAAATATAGAGGGTCCCAGTTCCCAGTCCCACTTTACCCACAGAAAACGCGTTCTAATTCGTCAGCTACCGTGGAGCTGACGAGGATATCCAAATTATCCATCAACCATAGGTCGCGACAAATAGAAAGTCCTGTGGTACAAGGACCTACCAAATCCTTTAATTGATCCTAAAAAAAAAAAAAAAAAAAAGGATTCAACTTCAATCTTGAGGGCCCCCATCGTCCCGTCCATAGAGATTTGTGAGGGAGATAAATTGCGGGATATATCCCAATAGGTCAGGGAACAAGAGCTGTCTATACACTATGCCTATAAGGAGTCCAATTTCATTTCTCATGAATCGAACTCCCGCACTACGATTGTCAGCAAGGCGTGAGATAACCTCACTTCTATCCTTTACACCACTGGACTATGTTCCGGAGGACGGGAATACTTAACTAATTATGTATATAAGTATGGTTAAAGAAGATCGAATGAAAAAACCTTGATATCTTCGATATTATATGCCAGGTTAGAACTAATATTGAATCGAGTTCAAACTAGTGATAATGAAATATTTTAGATTAAATATAGAAGCAACATATTAAGATATTTCGATGGATTCTTGCCTTGTTTTAACAATTTGTGTTCAGTTTTTACTAATTTTGACTAAATAAGAAGTCGAATTCACACGTGATGTAATTTTAAGGTAAATTCTATTTGAAAGACCTTCTCTTTGAAACAAAAAGGATATATATTTTAAGATTTTACTTTACTTTAGTTGAATAGGTCAAGCCAATGATAAAAATTATTGTAGCATTTTGTATTAATAGATTGATTTTATCTAGATTTGTGGTTAGATGGAATGCTGATAATATATTAACCGACAATCGACATCAATAAGCCTACTATAATTGTCACAAAAAAGCCTATTATAATTATTTCTCAAGTTCTTACCATAACCATCCATTTAGTCATTGAGTTTGTGTAGTCAAAGATAACTCAATCTCTCTTAAACCTGACATCCTATGTAATCTTTCTCTTACGAGGGTGTTCCAACTAAGAATTTAATGAATTTTAAAGGATTATAAATTCTAATGAATTTTGTGAATTTGAATAGATTTTTATAAATTTCATAAGAATCTAATGATGAAATTTCAAAAAATTTGCTTAGATATATTTTTTAAGCTTGAAATCCATTTGAATCTTTTAAAATCTTTCTATTAATGAAATCCTTTATAAATCCATTAGTTATTGAGAATACCTAAATTTTAAAGGATTTCATTAAAATCCAATAAAATTTCAATTGAAAGCACCTAAATTTAGAATAACTTTTAAAATCCATCATAATCTCAATTAAGAACACCCCTTAGTAAACCAAAACATGCCACAGTGGTTGCAAAGTATTTAAAAAAAAAACACATCAGATGTGCCTTTTCAATATAGCAATTCAATCTTATTACGAAGATGAGGGTCACATTGAATTGAACCCATTAATGCGCAACCACTTGAATCGTATCTAAAATGTTGCAGGAATATAAAAGACTCGGTTTCGCATCACGGTTTTCGTGAAGATATCACGTCACTTGTGGAAGATAGAAGGGAATCAGTGAATTATTATTGTATGTAAAATTGTAAGTTTTAGGTATGATGCAAAGAATGTAGCGACATATATGGTAGGAATGTGTGTGTTGATTTAAAAAGTGAGTGTTGCATATAAGGTAAGATTGGTGTGTATATATACAGTACGCTCATGCATATAAGATATGTCATATATGATAAGGACATGTTGTGCATAAACGTTAATGTATTACATATACGTATGATTATGCAACTACGACAACCTCTAGTGTATATAAAGTAATTGGACAAGCCTCCCGGGGCACAGCTCAACTCGTGGATCAATCAACATTGGCTCGCTTCCAGCGGTAGGGTGAAGAGTTCGATTCCTAGTGGGAACTTGCGGCCAAAAATTTGGTATGGAGCAATCACTGTGGAGGAGGGTCTCTTGTGCGCAGAAGTGTACAGTCAATGGGGGGAACCTGTGATCCAGTTGAGGCATAACCCGCGATTTACCCCCTCCAAGGTTCTAGGGGCATGGGTCTTCGAAGTTCAGGATTTAGTCTGGTATAAGTTGGGATACTTGAATAATAAAAAAAAAAAAAAAAAAAAAGTAATCGGACAAAATTTCTTTTTCTTGAAGTGGGTTTGATTTGAATTCTTGTGGAGACGAGTGTGAAGTTCATAAAGCTCTTGTTTGAGCCTCATTCTTTGAGAAAAAAAAATGCATTTTTAAATAGTATTATGACATCGTTTCAATCACACATTGTTCAATAAAATAATATCAGACGCAAATTCAAAACTTTTCGTAATTTTTTTACCATACATTTCACATCAATATATTATTCAAAATGTATATTATAACAAAAATTGGGCTCAAACAAGGGCAAAATTTCAAATAAAAACCATGACCTCAAACTCATTCATCATGAGATTCGAGACGAAAACCAAGTTGATAGGGAAGAATCTTCAGTGGGGTAGCGGGTGGCCCACCACACATTGTGTGGAGATAGGTGGCCCACACACCCCGAGGGTGCGACCGCCTTACTAAAGATTCTCTTAGTTGATGGACATCGTCATCTTCGTTAATTCAATTTCACGCTTTGAACAAAATGTATTCAAAATCTGTTCTTGGACTAATGGGATTAAATCAGCATTTGACGCTATTAGCATTTCGTTCGCTCTTGCACTTTGCGTAGCTACACAACCCTTTCCCAAAAGGAATTTTGATGTTGCGAGTTACAGAAAAATTGGATTTTCACTATTCGAAATATAGGCTTCACATAAAGCTATATCTTCGTCGATGTTGGAATTTGGCAATTTGAATTTCTTAGATCCTTCCCCGTCTGTCATTTTAAATAATCAAATGCTTACAGAAAGAGCAATGAAATAAATGGAACAAGATTTTCTTGTGAAATTTGAGGGCAGACTGAATTGGAGATGCTCAAAATGAAATGTATATATTTGCCAATATAAAAGAACCGTTATGTAACGGCTCTTTATTAAAAATCCGTGTGTTTTTTGTTGAAGAAATATGGACCCTCAGATCCGTCCTAGCAATTATAAAAAATATTCAGATTGTGGTGAAGCTGGGCATTGGATAGAATTTGAGTGAGGCCCACATTATTTTTGAATACCGTCGGCGGAAGTTGGATGAAGTCATTGAAGTGTGTTTGCAGAAAAACTTTGGGCCCGTTTGGTAGGGATTTTGAGAATTGATTTTTTGATCGTTAGAAGAAAAGTGGGGTCCACATGTGAGAGAAGAAGTCAAAAATTACGGCTTGAATAGTAAAATAACGATCAAAAAATCCCTACCAAACGGGCCCTTTAAGGATGAAGTGGGTTCCACAGGTAGATGTGAAAAAGGATATAAAAGCCCTTTTTTTTTTTTTTTTTTTTCCAACTCTCGCCGGAAATGTAATTTACATTTCTTTTACATCTCCCATTGAAGACGATTCCGAACATTTTAAAAATCTAAATCACAATTTAAGTGTATATTTGATTTTGATTTTTCACTCAAAAAAATTAATCTTTCGATTGTTACTTCTTTAAATAAGCCATCATTTTTTACTTATTCTTTTATTGGTGGGACTCACTTTTCTCTCTAACGATCAAAAAATCAATTTTCTAAATCACTACCGAACAAGATCTAAATCTATTTTCCAACATGATTAAAAATGTCTTTTTAAGTAAGTTTCTGTAAATATAATTCCGTTTTTACTTGAAAAAGGATTTTACGTCATAACATAACGTAGTACCTGTTGATCATGTATGTTATGCGCTCTAGAAGAAAACTCGATAGTACGACTAAACAAGATTTTACTAAATTTCTCTTGCTTAATGCAATTGAGTCACACCGAATTTA